TGCCCTATCCTATGTAACCAATTTTACACCAATGGGACCCCATAAGCCACGCATTAGAACAGCTGACTGTGATCACCGGCATTCTGCTGACCTCTCTCACCTCCTCTGCGCTTAATACGCATGGAGCAACGCCTCAAAACGTATGTACTAAGAATAAAACTTTGTTTTGTAATGGTCATACTTTTCTAGTGTATCCTTTCCATAAACAAGAACTTGAGACAAACTGAATATGCCCAGCTTACAATTTCATAGGAACACCCAAACATTTTTGAGATGACTTCTATTCAGGAATGCGTTTTTGATTTAACACGAAATGTGGAACATGAAAAACATTCGACAGTGTATCCTACACTCCTGTTAATTTTGTCAACACCACTGACATTTCTGATTTATGCTCCGTAATCATGACTTATTTGTTAGACAACTTTTTTGGTCACACTTTACATTTAGTTGACACAATGTAGCCAGTAGATAAACTAAGATAATATACAAATTAATATGCAAATATTTTTGGATATTTTTTGTCTAATTAATTACTTCACACGTAACTGTCTGACAGGCTATAACTCATTTAAACAATATATTTCTTATAATTAGGCTATTATGATGACCTCATATAATGAAAATATGAATACACTTTATTTGACTAATTTAAATTAAGTGGAAAAGGCGACTAAATGGTCAAAAAAGGGAAAAACGATCACTCACAATATCTATAAGAAAATTATAAAGACGATATAGGCTATTTTAACTGAAAGTTTAAAGGTATACTTCACCCAAAAATTTAAGTTCTGTCATCATTTACTCACCCTACAATTGTTCTAAACCTTTATGAATTTATTTCTTCTGCTGAATACAAAATAATATATTTTGAAGAATTTGGTAACCAAATATATGACGGCTTACCTTTGCCATCAACTGTTTGATTACCAACATTCTTCAAAATATATTAATTTGTGTTCAACAGAAGAAAGAAACTCATGATGACAGAATTTTTATTTTTGGGTTAATATATTAAGTCCCTTTAAGTCACGTGCATTTTATTAAAATAATTGTCGGTTTGGGGCAAGCTGTTACATGTGTTTTAAACGTTAGAAATTTATATTTAATATTTTATCAAGTAGGTTTAAGTACTTTTTTGCGAAAACAATGTTTTGTTATTGTTGTTTTTGCGTTTCGTAATTGTGTTACGGTTCAAATTTAGCTAAAAATGTGCCGTTTATGGCTGGTAACACGACAACATGAGCAGATTGGTCAACGTGTGTTTGTTCAGTTGGCTGTATTTTTTTCTTGGTAAGTAAACTAAATAATAAAGAAAGCCAGTTGGGAATAATGTGGAGAATATTAATGTTTTATGTGTTATATTAGATACCGCACGCTTCCAACAGTAACAGTATATTAACGAACCTGTTGCTGCGGTCTCCGGAACCCATCTTAATGAACCGACTTGGCGCAGCTGGAAAGCGGTTTTAACCTCATGACAGCTCTGCCCGCTGGCGCAGTGAGCTCTCCATACTAACACACTGGAGAGCAGGATCCACAACCAACATACACGCGGTGCTGTCCTGCGGAGCATTGCACCATCTCAGTCCACAGAAAGCCCTCTGAGCCAATGTGTGAGAACGAGGGGGGAAAAAAAACGTCAAAATATTATCCGGAAGAGATGCACATTTAAAGCCGCTTAATGAAGTAACGTTATCCAGGGAGAAAGTTTTTCCAAGCTGGTGGATCGCAGGGGCTTCACATGCTTTGTTTTGACAGACTGGTCTGGAGACATGTGAGGAAGGGCCCTGTGTGTGTGTGTGTGTGTGTGTGTGCCCAATGTGGAGAAAGAGACTTCTGACTGCCAGTTTTGTGCGCCCAACACCCACTGGACCCCCCTCCCTTTGGCACAGACATACAGATAGATAGACAGACAGTTAGATAAAGATAAAGATAGATAGATAGATAGTAAAGAAACAGCAATAAATAAATAAAGAAGAAAGAAGAAACAAAGCCTCTAGAAATATACACTTAATATTTAGCTCAGTACAAAATGTTTGAAAAATCCTGATATAAATGATTAAAAAGGGCTGTCTGGAAATGGGTGAAATTAGGTTTTACACAACCACTCGGTGTTGTCAACTGAAACTATTCTCCACAAAAGCAAATTAATAACACACACTCACAGACACACATACACAGACACATAGACTCACACACACACACACACACACACACACACACACACACACACACACACACACACACACACACACACACACACACACACACACACACACACACACACACACACACACACACACACACACACACACACACACACACACACACACACAGAGACAGGCTAACAGACTTTCACACAGACACACACACACTCACACGGACTCTCTGTCTCTCTCACACACACACAAGAATGTAGCATATTTAAAGCTGCAGTCCGTATCTTTTCCTCTTTGTCGCCATCTCTCTGTTCGAAATCTGTAACTGCAGTGATTCGCGGAATTATCATCTTTACGTGGGTTGTAAATCGGCATGAAACAGCGCGGATGAACACAGTGTTTTGAGGCGAGTGCTGCTGTCAGTCACCGCGCTGTGTGGATACTGTCATACAGAATCACAGATTCACTTTTTGAAAGTTTGACCAACATAAGAATTTTCATAAGAAAATGTCTTCTGAACAAGTAAGTAACATCCATTTTTGTTCTGACCAACTAAGGGGGAAAAAGCATTCGACATGATAAGCTTCGTTAGATTTAATCAACGCGATTTACAGCAACCGTGCAAATTATAGCCTAGTTTGTTCTCAAATTGTTCATGTTAAAGCTCCAGTCCGTAACTTTTTTAAGTTAAAAATAATCCAAAATAATTATATTAAAAAAAACTTATTCTGCCAGTGGTCAAAACTATCTGCTTGCCATAGATTCAAAACGGTTAGCTTGTAATAATGATTTTAATTCCAGTGGTACTGGTGGGTTTCCGCGGGAATTTCGAGCATGTCTTTGCGTCATGACGTCACACCCGTACACATAAAGAAGGAGTTTCGGCTAGCCGGCTATACTGCGCGTGACGAGATGTTTAGATGTATAGGCTTTTCTCGCAGCACTTTACATAATTAAACTTATGGCATCCAGAAAGATCCAAACAACAATCATCAGTGTCAACTGGAGATTCAGCAGTTATAAAACCCAAAAGACTTCGTACTTCGGATTTAAGGTGGCTAGAGAAAGAGAAAGAAACCGTCTCATGCGAACACAAGGATTTAAACATCGGCGGGGCTTTTGAAAAGTGCGTGAACTCCGTGTTTTGAAGGGGTTCAAAACGGAAGAAGAGACGGCCTTTTTCTGCTGAACAAGTAAGTTAAGACATTTCAATAGTTCAATCGTGTAACAGTACGTTTTCTTAATTCACACAGTTATGGAGTTTCCTTTGTTGTGCCTTTCTCGTTTTGTTATTATGGAGAATATGAATTCTGAACTACGCAGGTAGCTGCTAACCATAAAACACATTAAATTTAACATTAGTCACGCAATGCTGATGTTGTTAACATGAACAATTCGAGAACAAACTTTAGGCTATAATTTGCACGGTTGCTGTAAATCGCGTTGATTAAATCTAACGAAGCTTATCATGTCGAATGCTTTTTCCCCCTTAGTTGGTCAGAACAAAAATGGATGTTACTTACTTGTTCAGAAGACATTTTCTTATGAAAATTCTTATGTTGGTCAAACTTTCAAAAAGTGTGTGATTCTGTATGACAGTATCCACACAGCGCGGTGACTGACAGCAGCACTCGCCTCAAAGCACTGTGTTCATCCGCGCTGTTTCATGCCGATTTACAACCCACGTAAAGATAATAATTCCGCGATTCACTGCAGTTACAGATTTCGAACAGAGAGATGCCGACAAAGAGGAAAAGATACGGACTGCAGCTTTAACAACATCAGCATTGCGTGACTAATGTTAAATTTAATGTGTTTTATGGTTAGCAGCTACCTGCGTAGTTCAGAATTCATATTCTCCATAATAGCAAAACGAGAAAGGCACAACAAAGGAAACTCCATAACTGTGTGAATTAAGAAAACGTACTGTTACACGATTGAACTATTGAAATGTCTTACTTGTTCAGCAGAAAAAAGCCGTCTCTTCTTCCGTTTTGAACCCCTTCAAAACACGGAGTTCACGCACTTTTCAAAAGCCCCGCCGATGTTAAATCCTTGTGTTCGCATGAGACGGTTTCTTTCTCTTTCTCTAGCCACCTTAAATCCGAAGTACGAAGTCTTTTGGCTTTTATAACTGCTGAATCTCCAGTTGACACTGATGATTGTTGTTTGGATCTTCCTGGATGCCATAAGTTTAATCATGTAAAGTGCTGCGAGAAAAGCCTATACATCTAAACATCTCGTCACGCGCAGTATAGCCGGCTAGCCGAAACTCCTTCTTTATGTGTACGGGTGTGACGTAATGACGCAAAGACATGCTCGAAATTCCCGCGGAAACCCACCAGTACCACTGGAATTAAAATCATTATTACAAGCTAACCGTTTTGAATCTATGGCAAGCAGATAGTTTTGACCACTGGCAGAATAAGTTTTTTTTTATATAATTATTTTGGATTATTTTTAACTTAAAAAAGTTACGGACTGGTGCTTTAAAAGTCATGTTCACAATAATAGCAGCTACAGTTGACAAACCAATGATTACATTAACTCTCATTTTCAGAAACTGGACATTTGAAAACTTTGCAATGTTGCAAAGTTCAACTGTAATTTAGATCCAAATGTCTTAGCTATATCCTACTTGCAAATTGCTATAATTTCTAATATACAACTCTAACTATGCATGCAGACACAAACTCCCAGTCTGAAATAAGCGTTATATGGTTGAGTCGCTAGGAGGCGCGATTTGGTCATTTCACACAACATACATGAAGATGTCATTACACCGCTTCTCCACTAGATGGCAATACAAAGCAAATATAGTGCTTTTACCCGCAACTGGCGAGCAGAAGGAATAAAACAAACATGCTGTCATGTTATGCAGTTCTAGTTCACACTTTGGAGTGACAGCCAAACGTCTATAAAGAAACATGGCTGGGAACATAAAAGATAAAGAAGCATATCAACGCCTGAACTTCCTCTATCAGGTTAGTGAGATTTTCTATCAGATCTATTTTATTTCTTAATCTCCAAACGTTCTCATGACGTGTTCTCGCCCCCAGGCTGCTCACTGCGTTTTGGCTCAAAATCCAGAGAATATTGAACTAGCAAGATTTTACTGCTTCACTCAGAAGACCATCTCCAAACGACTGGTGCTCAGACAGTGAGTAGTTTCTCATTAATAGCGTGGCTTATATATAAACAAATATCAGTGATGGAGCTTCAACAAAGTATGATGCTTTTTTCCTGACAGAGATCCATCAGTGAAGAGAACCATTTGCAAGAAATGCTGCACTTTACTGGTACCAGGTGTCACATCCACTGTAAGACAAAAAAGTAAGTCTAATCTATCTATCTATCTATCTATCTATCTATCTATCTATCTATCTATCTATCTATCTATCTATCTATCTATCTATCTATCTATCTATAACAATGATATTAAATCTTAATATTGAAGGAGGACCAAGACGACAACGTAAGACTATTGTAAGGTGTTTAAGTTGTGGACTGACCAAACGGTTCCCAAACAACCCTAAATATAAATTGTGGGTGGATCAACCGGAGGCTCAGCTAGAAAACCAGACATCACAAGGTAAAGATGATCATCGTCAGTCTTTGAACTGTTTTTGTCTTTTAGTTTCGATTAAAAGTGTGTGATTTCCAAGAATGTCCAGCCTAGAAAGACCTCCATTAGTATTTCTGTTCATCTCAAGAGCGATTGCTTGGCTGACTCATTTAGGACATCTTTGTTTCACGGACAATCACTTTTTTTTTTTTTGCCAATCACCGAAGCTGTGACATGTGACTGTCAAGCTATATTAGAAGTTAAAAAAAAAAAAAATCCATTTTGATGTCTATTTTACGCCTTTAAACATCCTCAGTTTATTTGTTGCTTAGAAAAAAATACCAAATTGGTGTGAAAAATAGCATTTCTGAGTATCCTTTCATAGCAGGGAAAGGTGAGCTAACATTCTAATCAGCTATAATGAAATTATATCCTAATCTATACATGGATATCTCAGCAACGTCATCACTGCTTGCTTGCGCACGTAACCGGGAGGCAGAAAAAAGACGTGTTTCGTGTAGTAGGCTAGTAGCATAGTGGTGGTGTCTGTAAAATGCCAACGTAAACAAGCGTAACGAAACATATATAAATGCAAATTCGGGCTTTCCAGTAGATGCTGCACTGCTAACATTGGCTATTACATTACTAGTCTAAAATTCACAGTAACACTGCAAAATTAAAGACAGACCAACAGATCTGACTAAAATCACGTTTTATTGAGTCAGCAGTTATATAGAAACAATAAGGAAAGCTTCAATACTTAAGGTTGTTGCAGTAGCGGACCAGCTCACCAATCTGGCTTTTTGCCTCTGGTATGCGCACGCACCCTGTAATGTTTGTAAACCGGAAACCCGTGTATTGGGCTGGAAAGAGTTGTCATGAAACAGCTTCACAACCAGTCTTTTCAACCTCATAGTATCATTATTTCTGTGATGCAATAGTTAAAATTATCATATAAGTACTTGGATAAAGTCTAAAGTTCAAATATGAACACTGATGTCTACGATGGCGATCAAAATCAGCTTTTGATAGAAACTTGGTGCGTAAAATAACGATTACATTGTTTCACCACTAAGTGGCGACAAGTGACTGTTAAAAAATGTATTTGTTATTGAATCATTTCTTCGAGAATGTAGTATTGTATGATGCTTCTGAAATAAAAATCAGAAAGATGTGATGATTTGTTTTTGTAAATATGACTCATCTTGTACATCATGTACAGTCTGTATAACTGTATGATTTAACTTTTCCCGATTTTCTTGTGTTAAAAAATTGCAATATCGAATCGCAATACTTGTAGAATCGCAATTCTTAACCCTCTGGAGTTCTTCGTTTTCCAGTCACACTCAAGACCTTCGCGGTCAAAAGTGACCGGACCCCTGAAATCAATTTTTATTTTTTTTCAGTAAAATCAATTAAATTAATTTTTGTTCAATAATATTTTTTCTTTTTCTTTTTTGTGTTTTGAGAGAATTTTATGAAAATAATTAATATTTATGCAATAATTATGATAAATTTTTTCCCATTGAATATAATAGAAAATTTATATATATATTTTTTTTTTATTTTTTTTTAATTAATGCTGTATTTCAGGTTAAAGTGGATCCTTGGCCTATAGAAAACATTTTTTTAAATCACATTGGAGCCATCTGGTGGATGTAGTGAGCATAATTATCATGCAATATCATATTTTAACCACTAGATGGATTTACAGCCTCTGTAGAAAGGCTTGTGAATTCTAGTTGTTTTTGCACATATTTGCCTATTTTTTTCAGGTTGTGGATTTTAATTTATAATAAGTGATTCTCAAAGACTATTTTTGTCAAGTTTTTTGTTTGTTTGGTTGTTTTATTTTATTTTTAAAAAATAAAATAAAAATTATATTCTTTTCGCATAGACATGAAAATCACTATCCAAACTTAAATGGTTGTAATTCAAGAATGCTTTGGAATATAGACCTATGGTTGGTCTTGTTTTAAAGAAGACATTTGCCAGATTATTGTAGACGTGAAAGAAATTATGAAAGTGAAACAGAAAAAAAGTTATGAAAGTTTGAGTTAATAAAAATGAACAATGTAAAATTTTTATTATTTATATTTTATATAAAATATATATATATTATAAAATATATTTTACTCTAAAACTGCAAGAAAATGAAAGCCAAAAATCTTAAGAAGTTGTGTTCCAAATTTTAGGTTGATATCTCAAAAAATAAGCTTTCAGTCAAGATTTTATTTTGGCGCATACCAAACTTTTTCACTAGATGCATGGAACGCCAAGCTTCCTTACTGACCATATAAGGGCGCCTCCATTTTCATATATGTTTTGAGTGATCTGAACCATGTATTTCCATAATTTTCATACAATTTATGAAGTAGACATCCTATTCAGAAGTAGTATGGGTGGTTTGACAGTATTTGATTTGAATTCAACCTCTAATAAACACATCAAAAGAGCACATATGTGCTGCAATAGGCCTGGAGGTTACTAGGGAAGAATTCCATCGTTTGATCTTACACTGTGTGTGTGTGTGTGCGTGTGTTCAAGAGAGAGAGACATAGTGTGTGACCTTTGCATTTTGGACCCAATGTCTCCCCTTTGATTCATTGATTTGATTTAACATATTCTCACATTTCTCTGTTACAGTTTCACCAGTCTCATATTTCCCTATGTGTGTGTGTCTGTGTGTGTGTGTGTGAGCATGTCTATTTTGCAACCTTGATGGCTTACAGTCTCATGCTTTCATATCTGTGTGCTTTTTATTCCTTACATTGATTAATAATTGCTTTTATTTCACACATTTCCCAAAATTAGCTTTTGCAATGACACACGTTCATTTGTGTGTGCGTGTGTTTTTGTGTGTATGTGTGTGTGTGTGTGTGTGTGAGTGTATTTGTCTGTTTTGCACTCTTGATGTTTTAGAGATTCACCCCTTCACTGTGTTATGCTTTTTTTCTGCATCGTGGCTGATTTGTAGATTGTACGCACAAAAAAACCTCTGTATTTTCATATTTTTGCCATTTTCCCATTCATATCCTATGGCCGGTCATTTTTGACCGAAGGCCATGAGTGTGACTATTTTTTTTACGACCACTTAGACTTTTCAAATCATGTCCCCAATTTTTTTGTGTGTTCATATACCAAGTACCATAAAAGTCACCAAGTTTCGTACCATTCCAATGAAGCTACGATTTTTAACATTTTTTTATTTAAAAAAATTCCGGTCGGAAACGACCGAAGAACACCAGAGGGAAAAAAAACCCCGCAATAGCCTACATACCGTATCGGCACCCAAGTATCGTGATAGTATCGAATCGGGAGATAGGTGTATCATCCCAGCCCTACTAATCTATCAGCTTAATGTTACTGGTATGTTAGAATAGCAAACAAATCAGCAGTATGGAAAGCTAATCGGCTAACCTGTGAGCTAAAAAAAAACATTTTTTTTGTAGCTAAAATAACATGCTAATCTATCAAGTTAATCTGTTACTGGTATGTTACAATAACAGCTAATCAGTTAGAAGTAACAAAGCTAATCGGCTAACCAGTTAGCTAACAAACAAAACAGTGTTATGTTAAGCTAACAAGCTAATCGGCTAATAATTTAGCTGGTTCTCAAAAAATATTCCCAGTTGTAACAGTGAAATCAATACGCAGGTGCGTTCAATTCGACCGTAAGTGGACTGCGAAGTGGACTTCACAGGGTATTCCACCATCTTAAGTGAGATTCCAATCCGAAGTGAGCGAACATGTTCAGTTCAAAGGGCACTGCGAACGGCGTAGGGAATAAGGGAACATCGATACATCACTTCACAGGAAGAGGAGAGTGAAAATCACCCAACTGTCATTGCGCATCGCATCACCAGTCTGAACTAACCATAGAGGAGAGCCGTTCGAAGAGATTTTAAATGGCTCTGAGTTTACGTATGCATTTGAGTATTCATAAATATTGTTATTATTATACAAACTAGAGTATTTATGAATGGTTACGGTGATGAGTGTTACATTTGCAAAGTCTATTGTATGAATATGTAAACAAATTAAAAGTGTTGAGAAGCAGCTGAGGCGCTGTCATTTATTCTATTTTACTGTATTACTTCAGGAATGTTTACTATGCAGCTGCGCGCGGGAAAAGAAAGCGCGCGAGATGAGTAATTATTAAGAACACATTTATACATAGTTAACCAAATCAAAATGTATTTTCATTTTGAATGACAGTTACAGTACTACGGAAGCCCTGAACCGCAACGTAAAAAAAAAAAAAAAACCTAGCATTTCGAGATTAAAGTCGAAATATTTTGAGATTAAAGTAGAAACCGCAAAGTAAATTTTTTTAACAAATTCAGTAAAAAAAAAAAAAAAAACTAGCATTTCGAGATTAAAGTCGAAACATTTCGAGATTAAAGTCGAAATATTTCGAGAGTACGAGAATACAGTCTTCCGTGGAAGTTGCGTGTGTGCTTGCCATTGTTTCACATTGCCGCGCACACAGGCATTCATAATGGTGCATAGCGAGTGTTTCACACTGTGTGTGTGTGTGTTTTGTTTCAACAGGTGACAATCTACCAGCATTAGGCTACCATTATAGGACGTTATAAAATATACTGCGCCGGAATAGACTTTAACCTATAGGAAAACCAACCCGGAAAACACTTTTCAGACTGGATGGAGATATCCAGCTTTATGAATTAATTAATTAATTAATTAATGAATGAATGAATGAATGAGGCATTTATATAGCGCTTTCATATGTCTACACTCAAAGCGCTTTACAATCATATCAGAGAATCTCTCCTCAACCACCATTAGTGGTTATTAAATCTGAGGAAATCACGGGATCCGGCCAAATGATTGGATACAGAATGATAAAATGTATCCAGAACGTATTACGGTGAAGAGGGAGACAGAACGGTTACTGTTGTGTTCTCGACCCAGATAGTGTTGCCTAGACGAGCACGAAAACATTTAAAAAACACTGCCACATAAAGTTTGGACCATTGTGATACCTACTCCGGCGGAGTCTGTGCGCTCGTCTATAATAGGCAACGCCATCAGCACCTGTGTAGAATTTTGTTGAAAGCCCAGATTACACACACACACGTGCTCTGAGCCAGTGGACCCGCACTGTTATGAATGCACACACTTCTATGGAAGACTGTATTATCGTAATGTTTCGACTTGATTCTCGAAATATTGCAACTTTAATCTCGAAATGCTAGTTTTATTTTTTACTGATTTTTTTTTTTTTTTTACGTTCCGGTTTCGACTTTAATCTCGAAATGCTAGTTTTTTTTTTTACTGATTTTTTTTTTTTTTTTACGTTCCGGTTTCGACTTTAATCTCGAAATGCTAGTTTTTTTTTTTTTTACTGATTATTATTATTTATTTATACGTTGCGGTTTCGACTTTAATCTCGAAATATTTCGACTTTAATCTCAAAATGCTAGTTTTTTTTTTTTTTTTTTTCGTTGCGGTTCAGGGCTTCCGTAACAGTACAGTTTCAAATATGTTAATAGTTTATTAAAGTCAAGTAGTCTATGTAATAAACTAAAAAACAACAACTAAACTAATACAATGTTTTTATTATTTATTAGATGCATACGGGTTTGTATATGTATAGGCCTATTATATGATTTTAAATTTGAAAGTGAAGTAAGTGACCTCGTCTTTGCTTTTCTTTGATGACGTTGCAGGGCATTTCAAATGAGAGATAATTGTCAGCGAAGTCCACTTCAACTGATATACCCTGTTCAGGGAGTAGAGCAGTGAACACTGCTTAGGGACCCTGTCGATCGGGACGCACCTTATGAGAGCAGGCTAATCAGCTAGTGATGTTTAAAGGGATAGTTCACTTTGAAATTAATTTTTGGTATGTTTTAGCTTACCTCAAGGGCATCCAAGATGTAGGTGTCTTTGTTTCCGCACTAGTTTCAATTTTGATATTTTTAGGTCAAACCGTTCTTGTCTGTCAGTGATATAATGCAGGTCTATGGTCACCACCTCAAAGAGCATGCACAGAGAAGTCCAAATTAAACATGATTTAATGACTCGTAAATGTAAGTACACATTGATGGCCTAAGACACGAAACGAGCGGTTTGTGTGAGAAAACGAACAGTATTTATATCGTTTTTACCTCTTGTAACCACAGCCACGTCCAAGTGATCTGAGGGCGCGGGCGCTTAGGTCTGTGCGTTACAAGAAGTAAAAACGATATAAATACTGTTAGTTTTCTCACACAAACCGCTCGTTTCGTGTCTTAGGCCATCAATGTGTACTTACATTTACGAGTCATTAAATCATGTTTAATTTGGACTTCTCTGTGCATGCTCTTTGAGGTGGTGACCATAGACCTGCATTATATCACTGACAGACAAGAACGGTTTGACCTAAAAATATCAAAATTGAAACTTCTGCGGAAACAAAGACACCTACATCTTGGATGCCCTTGAGGTAAGCTAAAACAAATAAAAAATTAATTTCAAAGTGAACTATCCCTTTAAATCTAGCAGGTTAATCTGGTAGTGGTATGCTAAAAATCACAGACTAATCAGTAATTGTATCAGTAACTGACTATCTGTAAGTTAACAGGCTAACGCATGTTAAATTAATCGGGTAACTAATTGGCTTGTGAGGAACAGAAAAAACAACACGTTTATTTGAATATTTATAGCTAAGACAACATGCATCATTAGCAATTTTGTACAAATGACACCATTCATTTTTTTTTTAGCATTTTATCTTCTAATATCGCAAATAAACACCATACACTATCTTTATTGTTATGTCTACAGTTGCTGGTCCTTCATCTAAGTCCACAACCCAAGGGAAGAAATCGGATATTTCAAGTGGCTCAGCGTCCACAACAGCGAAGAATTCGTCTGCAGCTCAAACAAATCTGACTAATCCTTCATGACACTCACTTTAGGAGACTGTCCGCATACATTAATATGGCTGGTTCAACAAAGTGGATGTTTTTTTTATTATTATTATAGTTTTTTTTATTTTAGTTTTGCAGCCTTTAGATTTAAAAATGCAGTTATTATTTTCCTGACAGAATGTGCAATATGGGTTTTCTTCCGCATTGAATGGCTGTTTTGAATTGCAATAAAGTATTCGTACTGTAAAAGGCTGATTTACATTGCTAATGACTTTTTATCCTGTACTTTTTTTTGGCACGCTTAAATATAATTGAACTCTGCACGACTTCCTTCTAAAGAAGCGTTTGCTTTTATCACCCGGAGCGTTTGGAATCCTGGTGGGAATTCAGTTGACTACATAAAAATTGATTGATCTACTGTTGCTAAATTATCTCTTTATCCAAACCATCATGTGGATATTTCAATTAGACACGCTCCGCAAACTTAGTAACTTTTAGTGCTTTTCAGAACATTTTGAACAATGTTTCGTTTTTTTTTTTTCATCGAACTTCTAAAGGCTTAGTGATTTTTCCAGTCAGTTGATCTCTGATAGTCTCTTGATCTCAGGGTCGCACATATATCCCATGCTGGGCTTAAAGGTTTTGATATTTGAAGTTTCTGATGAGAAAAAAAAAAGCCTTCTCTTCGCACAGCGCGCAATGCGTGTTCATGAATTATTCAAATTTACGAGCACGACCTCTCCATGTATCATGCATCAAATCTTGGATGCTTAATTCCTGTTGCATATTCATGATATCCTTCACCCTGGCGATAATGTATAAGTGATATAAAGATATTTACACATTTATGAGTGTAATTCAGTCGGTGCTGATGTTGTTAATTGGATGGGATATGGATCTTGTCTAAACGCATTACAACAGCGCGGTCCGGAGGATATGCATCTATGGGATGTCAATACGGCAAACATGGAAAGTACCACCATGAGGCTTTATCTAAGCCAAAGAACCCCTCCCACTTCCTCGAATTAGAGAACCGAATCAATTGCCCTGAAGGCCAGAACGAGATGCATAGGAAGACAGGATTTAATTCAATTTGCATCGCATAATGTCAGTGGGAGTGCATTAGAAATTAAAATCGTGTGGTTGAGGGATTGTGCTAAATGGATAAGTCCACAGGCTCGCTGTATGGAAGAGCATCAGAGGTGAAAAGAAAGGTCAAAAAGAGATCTAGATGAAGTGGGTGGTTTACATTCTCATGTCCCAATCATAATGATTTAAAAAAATATGTTTCTGATTTGGATTTTGGCTAGATATGTGACCTGCATATATTTTCTTGATACTAATGGTTTGTAGCAGCTATGGAATGTTGAATGAAAAATCCAATCGAGATGCATCCATGCTTGCACATATCGGTCAATTTACAAACGCCTCTGAATGTGGCTCACCCAACAAGACCAGATTGGTTTATAAAGAACTTTATTGACCGTCGAGTGGAAATTTAGAAATTACTGTTATGCTAATATTAAAAACAACATTTATGCTGCAGCATGCTTTGATATGCTAGCACATATGTGACATTCCTAGTAAACGCCAGTAATGCCACTGGTATCCCCCCTGCAGGGTGCATATTGCCAATATATACTGTTGGTGCATGAATTTTTCATATGCTGTGAAATTACCTGACTCGTGCTCGCTGTTCCTCTGTGCTATGGCATTTATCTGACTGATTTTGAGTCTGCCATGTTCCATCTGAGGGAAAACAAAATCGTTTCTGTGTTGTCAGAAATATAATGCATGCCCAATAGCTCCTTTTCTTGATATTGTTTTTGGCAGCACTGGGAATTTGACAAAAAAACAGGAATATTAGAGCAAAAAAAAAAATATCTGTCCACAAATATTGCATTTACCTGAGGGAAACATTGTGGTATTGTAATTAGACTGTACATATCCATTTGAACTGTTAAAATTGTTTCACTGCAGTTTATTCTGGCCAAGAACCATCCAATTTAGCAGGAAGAAGGCTGATATTTCGGTCACGTACTGCTCTGAGACACAAAGGTTGAGGATCCTAATGCAGTGTTTGTTGAACAGGTACAGGCGAGGTCAAACACAGGCAGGCAATAGTGATGTTACATATGACACTGAAGCTTCAAAGAGCTTATCGAGTAAGCTACGCAGCGCATTTTCTCATGAAGCTCCATGTCGGCGCGTATTGTTTTCAGAGAAACACGTGATCAACGAAAAACGAAGCCTCACTTTCTTTCCAGCCACGTGAATGCTTCTCTTTGCGTGTCGGAATGTTTGAACCCAGACCACTACTCTACAGGTTTTTGGAAGTTTAAGTCCATTTACTAAAATTTTAATATAAATAAGCCAATAGCCTACATGATCATATATTCTGACACAGGGGCGTCACTAGGATTTTCATTTTAGGGGGGCTAAGCCCCCAATATGATTTTTTTTTTAAATAAAAAAATGTAACACTTTAGTTTAGGATCTAAAGATCACTATTAACCATTTTCATTACGATGCAAAGGCACGGTTTTATAATAACTGTGGTCCCTAATGTGAGGTAGGGCAAATAAGGGGGTTCGGGGTCTCCCCGAGAAAATTTTGATTTCTCTGATCTACATATGTGCATTTTAAGATGTTCTGAAGGCCAAAAAACTTGGATAGTGGGCAGCTGATTATTTTTCTCTCCTCATCAGCATCACACTCTTTTTCTCTTTGTTTTTATCTTGCCCTGTCTCTTCCCCTCCTAAAGCTGAGCTTTGACTGATATAGGCTTTTCATTTTTGTCTGTCAGTGAAGAAAGTAAACATAGGGTCAATTGATAGGTTGATTTTGCCTATGAATCATTTTCTCAGACGCGTTTATTTACTGAAAGCTACTAAAGGTAATTAAGTTTATTAAATGCATTCACAATATGTAGGCTACACATTTATTATTGATCTTATGCCTAATACAGGGCCGTAGACAGGGCTTTATAATCACAGAGGTCCTAAATTTGAGGTTGGTAGGGGGTTCAAATTTTTTATTTCTCTGATATGTGCATTTCAAGACGTTTGAAGACCAAAAAAGGATAAGAAATAGCTTTAAAACCATGTCAGTGGGCAGATTATTTGTCAATACCTGCTCTCTTCTCATCTCCATCACGCTTTCTTTTTTTCTCAGTCTCTTGGTCCCTTTCTCTTCCCCTCCTAAAGCTGAGCTTTTTTAATTTACTAAAGGCTACAATTTGTATTATATCCTCAATATGTACACATTCATTATTAATCTTGTGCCTAACATGATGAAAACGGCTTTGTTAATGTTTCTTGTAAACTAATTATTACATTACATGAGTCACGTTACAGCCTATTTTCAGTTCAAAATGGCGAAATTAGACAAAACTATATTACCGTAGTTTGCCTGATTATTTTTTGTCATTCGTTTAACATTTATGACCTAAAAAAAGTAAAATATGAAATGTTAAGTTTAGCTACTTTTTACATTTTATCTCGCACTTGACCGTACGCGTCGAGTCACACTGTTAAAATTCGCGCGCAGCAGCGTCTGTGAACATAAAGCCTGCCTACTTTGATTTGATTGGTCATCTCAAATATTCTGACATTGACGAGCAGTGACAGACCAATGAGGCTCAGATGAACACACACACACACACACACACCCTGTCCTCTGTTTCTGACGTGCTCTCTGTCGGCGCCGCTGCGGATTGAATTGAAGATGAAGAACGCGCTGAATCTGATTATAACAAGACTGAAGCGAACACGAATTTCTGTAGCCTACATTAATCTCACATTTTTAGGGGGGCTAGGCAGAAGTTTAGCCCCCCTAAAAAGGGCCTAGTGACGCCCCTGTTCTGACACATAAACAGCATAGAAACCATAACATAATTAGACCAACATTTAGGCTACTTGCAGCAAGCAACTCCTGTTAGTATTTTTAGAAATAATTGTTACATTTAATTTATTGCCACAGTTTAATATATATTATCAGAAAACTGAACATTTAGCGTTGTCAGCCTTTTATTTGTGCTTAATTGATAAAACGGCGCTGCGCACTCAGCTGTTCATAAACACGGCTGCTATAAATTTGACCTGCCACAAGATGGCGCTGTTTTCGACACTCTTGATGCGTCGAATCTTTTCCCGAAACATTCAGGGGAAAGCCTCAGTGCTTCATGAGGCTTCATTTGCCCATTCCTAGCAGGCAAACAAACACAACAAGGCAGGGAACACGGGCAAAAGCGTAATCCACGGAACAGGTAAGAAATCCAAAACCAAGAGACATGAAACCAGGGAGAATGCTCGGAATTGCAGTAACACTAAACAAAACTTGAGACAGATATGAATGAGAAAACAAGGCTTATATGGGGTGAGCTAAATAATGAGACACAGGTGAATGTGATAATGGATGAAGAGTCCGGGCAGTGAGTTATGGGAGATGTAGTTTGTGAGGGAATGACAATAGTCTGATGTGGAGTGCCCTCTGGTGGCTCTCAAGGGCACTCCAGCTGGTGACAAATACAGTCAAACCAAAAATTATTCAGACACCAGATATCATTTTTGATTTTTTTTTTTTAACTAGTGGGTTCAGGACTATGGTTTATTACCATTTTCTATACTATAGCGACTAAAACTGTGATAATGTGAGAAATGTTGAAGGTGCCTGAATACATTTTGGTTGTATATGCATACGGTGTGTGTGTGATTTTTTTTGCTATTTTCAAGACACTCAAGGACACATTAGACCAAAAAAGGACACCTTAGATGATATGAAATGACAGTAATAAATAAATAATTTATATACAAAAATATATATATATAAATTACAAACGTATGATGCGATTCATAAAGAAGCCAGTTTTTCAAAGCAAACGTGTAATTGCAGCAAAGAAAATTCTTTGCATGATGCAATATCTTCTCTGCACATCATCCCAAGTTGCATCAGCAGAATAAATAAATACTTTATAATAAATGCTATAAAAAAGCCTCAACCAATTCTGTGCTTGGCAGCATTGTACCGATTTTACAAACTCGGTGTGATGTACTGAGTGTCAGTAGGCCATAAACACTTTAATAATTTACATTTATTGATAAATGATAAAAACCGAGCCAAGCTTCCCCCAGCCCTCACAAAACATCTCTGCAAATATTGTCCGTCTTGTTGGCTAGGTTGGATCCACAGCTCTCCTACAAATTGAACAAGAACAAGAAAAGAGCTAAAAAGATTATCCACAACACAGCCGAGGCTGCCAACTGTGATTATCCATAAGCACTCGTAGGGAAGTGGAATTAGTCATGAGAAAAATATGATAGGAAAATGTGGCAAGAATGTATTGGAGGATGCACAGATGTGAAAGTGTCAGGCGCTAATCTCTTTATTCTTAAATACCCTTTAAATATAGCAGTGTGCAAAATGGATTGTATTTTCCGAAG